GACAGCAGCTGAACATGAGCCCAGGTGTTCTCAGGTGGGCAAGAGGCCAATGGCACCTGGATTGTACTGGCCACAGTGTGGGCACAGGACCAGGGTAGTGACTGTCCCCCTGTGCTGGGCACTGGTGAGGCCACATCTGGAATTTTGGGGTCTCATTTGGCCCCCTCCAGTACAGACACTGATAGGCATGTCCAGAGAAGGGAATGGAGCTGGGGAAGGGGCTGGAGCAGCAGGAGCAGCCGAGGGAGCTGGGGGAGCTCAGCCTGGAGAAAAGGAGGCTCAGGGGGGACCTTCTCACTCTCTCCAACTTCCTGACAGGAGAATGGAGCCAGGGGGGTCAGGCTCTGCTCCCAGGGAACAAGGGATAGGGCAAGGGGAAATGGCCTCAAGCTGTAGCAGGGGAGGTTCAGGTTGAACATCAGGAATAGTTTCTTCATGGAAAGGATGGCCAGGCCTTGGAAGGGGCTGCCCAGGGCAGTGATGGAGTCCCCATCCCTGGAGGTGTTCAAGCACTGACTGGATGTGGCACTCAGTGCTCTGGGCTGAGTGACAAGGTGGGAGAATAGGTCACAGATTGGACTCAATGACCTTGGAGGTCTTTTCCAACCAAAATGATCCCATGATTCTGTGTCCCCTGTGTCACAGCTGCTGCCCTGAGCCGAGCTGAAGGAGCTCCCTGCCAGCTGCCTCTGTCAGAGGTTGCAGCTCTTATGGGACAGTGGGACCTTCAAAAGCAGGTGGAGGTTTTCCTGCAACATGGAAACCCTTAACTTTGGGAATCTTGTCACCCCTGACTGCAGCCCAGGAGCAATCCAACATGGTGTCAGTGCACTTTCAGGATTTCTCCCATCAGCAGTTCCTGCTTTTTGAAGGAAAATGGAGTTGGTGCAGCCTGGGTGGCTTGTGGGGAACCTCTGGGGATCCCTGTAGGGACAGTGCATCCCCAAATCTCTGTCCTGCGAGGAGGGACGGGTGGGTGCAGCATTTCCAGTGCTGTGGGTCATCCTGCACAGACCAGTGGTCACTCAGACCTGGGCTCCAGGTCCAGCTCCAGTGCTGGCTCCTGGAAGGTGTTCCTGCAGCCCAGAAATGTTTCTTGTCCTCCTTTTCCAGGTGACCCTGGCCAAAATGCGCTCTCACGTCTCATCCTGCGCCAAGGTGCAGGAGCAGATGGCCAACTGCCCCAAGTTTGTTCCAGTTGTCCCCACATCCCAGCCTATTCCCAGGTATTCCTGCGCCTTGGGTAGGGAAGCATGTCCCTCCTTGCATGCCCCAAAATCCAAGCATGTGTTTTACCTTTCTAATCACAGGGAGGAATATCAGCATTTTCCTTCCTGGCACCCACGGCCCTTGTACTGCTCCGTGTTTTGGAGTGTGAATTGGGATGAAGAGCCCAGGGGGTGGGAAGGGGTTGGGCTGGTTTCTGCTCTCACAAAACCGAGCTGGGTTAGTTTGGAAGGAGTCAACCCAGCCCCTTCCCTGGGGATCTGAGCTTTTCCTTGCTCTCCTTAGCAACATTCCCAACCGCTCAACGTTTGTGTGTCCATACTGCGGGGCCCGGAACTTGGACCAGCAGGAGCTGGTGAAGCACTGCATGGAAAACCACAGAAATGACCCCAACAAAGTGGTGAGTGATGCTGGGGCACTGGGATGGGCTGGGATGTGCAGGAAAACTCCTGGGAATCCAAATACACTGCCCCAGGCCACCGGCATGGATGTGTGCGAGGTACAACTGTGTTTCCAGCTGGT